GTGAGAGAGAGAGAGAGAGAGAGAGAGAGAGAGAAAGAGAGAGAGAGAGAGAAGGAATAGACCCCACCCATACAAACCATGCCCTGGGGCAAAGACTAGAAGGCTCTACTCCAAAAAGCTAAAAGGGTCTGTTAATAAGTGGGTCTCCCCAGTTATTTTTATTATTTTGTCTTACATGACTTTGTAAACTTCCCATAATGTGCTGATATAACTTTTATAAGAATAGGTGACTATTTAAGAGAAGTGATGATCAAAGATGAAACAGGTACTGTGACAGTTTAGCAAGTCTGACCAAGTGGATTTTCAACAAAGAAAAATGACCCTATTCCAAAATCCCCTGACTCTGAGGGGATTCACCAAATCCCCTGACTCTGAGGGGATTCACGTTTTATTTGTGGTCAACACTCCAGGCAGACACTGTGGTAAGGAAGTAAGATACAAACTCTGCCCCGCACCTTCACACATGGTCTCCACATGCGTAGACTACATGACTGATGTGTATGCTCTTTAAGAAGTGATATGGCATCACTGGTTAAGTCAGTATCTAGTCTCACTGAAGAATGAAAAACACAGGCACCAGACCCACACTCAGCTCTAACTTGGTGTTCCAATTTTGCTTTTGTAAAATTCATTTGATTTATTTTAATTCGAAATACCTGGGACTTGTAGAAGGAGATCAGCAGGAGTCAAATCTGGAAGGAGGAGGAATGAGCGCTAGGGTGATCTCAGCACTTGCTCAGCATGTTTCAAATGTTTCCTGATTTGAAAGTCAAATGTGTCAGCCCTACTTTGTTACCACAGAAGTAGAGCTGATAGAGCCAATGGTGCTGTTTATTTTTTCTTTTCATTGAGGTAACATTAATTTACAACTCTGTGTAGGTCTCAGGGGTGCAGTGTCACCTTAGCAATTGTGATATATCACCCCACAGCCACAACCAAATGTCTAGTTACCATCCACCACCAAGTAACTGGCCTCCTCTACCATTTTCCTCCTCCCTACCTGTCCTCTGACAACTACCATTCTGTTGTTGCAGCCTAAGTGTTTCTGTTTGAGTTCACTTGAATGCTTTTTCCATTTTGTATAACACAAATGCAGAAATCATATATTTTTTTGTCTTTGTCATTCAACTTCACTTGGCATAGTCTCCTAGAGATCCATCTATGTTGTTGCAAATGGCAAGGTTTCATCTCTTTGATGGCTCAGTAGTATTCCAGTGTGTGTGTGTGTGTGTGTGTGTGTGTGTGTGTGTGTGTTGTATATCACATCTTTATTCAGCCATCTGTCTTTAATCACTAGGGTTGTTTCCATAGATTGCCTATATGATTGTTGCTTTAATGGACATAGGGGTACACATAGAAGTTCTATTTTTAATTTTTTGAGGAACTTTTCCATAGTACCCATCACTATTGGGAATAGGGCTCCTTTTCCTCCCAGCCATTATCAGCACTGTTTTTAAATTTTTTTGATAGTAACCAGTCTAGCCAGTATAAAGTGAAATCTCATCATGGTTTTGATTTGCATTTTCCTAGTGATAAGCAATGTTGTACATCATGTGTCTGTTGGCCATCAACAAATCTCTTTTGGTTAAGTGACTATTTACATCCCCTACCTATTTTTTTAATATTGTGGTATTTTGCTGTTGTTGAATTGTGTGAGATGTCTGTATATTTTGAACTTACCCCTTTTATGATATATGATTTATGAATAACTTCTTTCATTTAGCAGGTTTCCTTTTCATTTTAACGATGTCTTTTTCACTATGCCTCAATGCTTTCGTTTGTTGTTTATATTCCCTTTCACTCCTTTTGAAAACAGTTTCCTTTCATTCATTAGCTCAAATACTCCTTGACTTAAGCCATAATGGCCGAATCTGTGAGGCCAGTGGGGATGGGCAAGACTCAGTCCTACGCTTCAAAGAAGTTACACTATGCAGCTATAGAGGGTGAGAAGCACTGAGAAACTTCAGTACAGGGCACAAGCTGGGAGTGCAGAGAGCTGGAGGTGACAAGACTGGCACCAGTGGGAAAGCTGGCGCTGGCTCCAGGAGAACTGTGCCCTCTATTCGTAACAACCGGGCTTTGCCAGGGGAACAGGGAGGTGGGAGCTCTGGCGTGAGGACCAGAAGGGATGGAGGTCATGTACAATGGTGTTAAGTGTGACTTCTGTCTCTCCCTGGCAATCTAAATCCATTTTTTATGACTTATGTTTGCAAATGATGCTGCAATCTACTCTTTGCAGCCAATTTTTTCCTGAACTCCTGGCCTCACCCACTGCCATGAGGACATCTTGCAGGGCACCTCACAGGCATGTCTCTCTTCAAATATTCCACCCACAAAGGGTTCCACCTCCTGCAGTGGATGGCCCCCAGCCCGGGCTGCCAGATTCCTGCCTACTCACCTCCCGCCTTCTTCTTCTGAAGCCCTTCTCACTCAGAAGGAAGCTGTGCGGTCTAACTTAGCAGCTCTCCCACCCATCCACCTAGCTTGTTCTCACAGCCCAGCCCCTCTCAGTCTGCGCCCTTTCATCCCTCCTACGTCCAGCCTTCCTCGAGGGTCCTACCTAACTTCCATATAGGGCACTAGTGGGGTCTACCTGGCCCTTCTACAAGTGGCCTCCAATAACCTTTCCTCGCCATCTCTTGGTCTCTGTGGAATGTTTCCTCTGCCTATAATGTCCTTCTAGTCTCCCACGTCTTTGTCTGGCCAACTTCCCCTCATGGAAGCACTTGGCTGGGATATCACTCATTCTTTTCTAAAGCTTGCCTGTAAGTGGGGACAGTTACTCAAATACTGACCCCTGCCCACACTGCCTGACTTGTTTGCAAATGCCTCTGATTGCAGCAGTTTCCTGTCTGCTCCTTCCCTTTTTCTCTCTGGAGTACCCCTGGGGATCTCTTTGTAAATCATTTGCCCGCCTGGCCTTCTCAAACAAAGTGGAAGACTTGAAGATCATTTTTAATGAACTGGGAATCTCAGTTGGAGATCTCCTCTCCTATCAGCTTCCCAAGAGAAGAGAGGGGTTTGCTTACTTATATCTTGTGAGAATCCTCTAATATTCAACAAAGCAAAATGTGTTTGTGTCCTCAGCCAGTCTGCAATCAGTAGACACTGGATGGCCTTGCTGGCTTGACATTGAATCAGTGAGACTCCATGCCTCTAAGGAAGTGAGAACTCAGGGGAGATGGCACCAGGAGGAACCAGACTGTTCCCTTCCAGCTCCTTTGCCTATTCTGTGAAATGAGGCATTTCTGCCTTGAGGAAGTTAACATGAGAACACCTACTTGTGGGGTTATAGAGAGAACCAAATTAGGCAGGGACTGGGGGATAGCTGAGCGCAGCATTATACTGCCTTGGAGAAAATGAGTGTCTTGGTCACGTGACTGGTGGCAGGGGTTGGGTGGGAAAGGATTCTCAGTAAATGTTTGTAGAGTAAGTGCGCAGCACATTCTGGTCAAGGCGGCCAGTCCTCCCCACCTGCCAGTGAGGGTCACTGCCCCACCGGGGCCACAGTACACACGGGCAGGAATCCCCTGGGGACAGGCTGAGTGGACCTGGCTGAGATGTCTCAGTTGCCAGGATGTGTCCACTCTCTTCGAATGGCAGTCTATTATTTTACAGCAATCAGAAGAATTACACTGTTTGAAGAATGTTTAAAATGTTTGTAACCAAAGATAAGGAAACTAATAATAGCTGGCAATTCCTGAGCGCTTAACTATGTGTGTGCCAGGTGTTTGCCCACATACTGACCATTAGTCCCTGCAACAGCCCCGTGAGGTTAATATTGTGTCAGGTGCCACTGAGGAAAGAGCAGGACAGAGGCCCGGCTCCTAGATGGCAGAGCTGGAACACGAGCCAGAGTGCTCCAATACGCTCCTAATTCAAAGTCTTCTAGCCATTTCTAGTACATTTATCATTTCATCCTCCTTTCAGTGAAGTTTGAGAGTCACCCTGGGCTGCAGGCACCTCATTTTGATTATAGGGTAGCGGGTCCCAGCTAAGTGGCGAGGGCTAAGCAGCTCTGCGACCTTGGGCTCAGCTCAAAGCAGGTGGGAGGATTGGGGGGACCCAGCATTTGCTGGACGTGAGTTTTCTGATCTGTGGTTTGATAGGAAAATTCCCCCATGTGAAATGTCCATAACGTGTGTCCAGGGAGAGGGGCAGACAGAATCGACAGCCTGGAAGCTGGAAGCAGCAGGCTGAGAAAGTAAATCTATTAATTTTAAATGAGACTCAGCTCAGTCTACACCTCCTCTGTCTCTTTTCAAATGGCCACTGTCCCTTTTTGCCTGCTTTTCATTCTTTTTGCTGTATTTCACCAACCACCGAACTTCCCTGTGTCACCTATAAAGTGAGAGGCTTCCTCCACACTAAGTCTCAGCCCTCAAGGAACGGGTGGGTGTGTGTGGGGTAGGGAGCAGCTAGAGAAACAGGAGCAGAGGATAGCGAGCAGGCAAAGCCTGTCCTGGTTTTTCACTCAAGAGCTTCCACATCCCTTCTTTTCTAGTTTCAGGGACTAAGGTTCCTGCAGGGGGCCCCCAGTCTCCCCAAGTGTATCTGGGTCCATTCTCTCTCTCTGGGACTTTGCCCACATCCTTCTCCAGAGGCACTCGAAACAAGGAGTTGTTTCCACATCAACACAGAGAGTCTGTGTGTATGTGCAGAAGGGGCCTAGGAAGGTTGCCACAAGCCTCTACACTTGGTAAAACACCAAGTGGGCGCCCCTCACTGGGGTGACGACCTTCTGGTACAAACAACCCATAGGCTTGTCAGCAAACTATTTCTGTCTGGACTTTTGGCAGAATGAGGACAAAAATCTTATGGATTTTTTTTTTTAAAGCAGGATTATACTGCTTAAAAGGAAAAGGCATATAAAGGGGAGGGAAAGATCAAGTTATTCTACTTGATCTTTCATTGCCTGGGTAGGAATTTTATTTTTATAAGAATACAAGAGGGATAAGAGCTCAAGTTCAGTGGAAAATACAGAACAGTATAGCTGACTCAGAAAATAACTTTAAAAAATTTTAAATCCGATGGAAGAACCCAGTTCCTAGTTGACTGATGGTTTTGGATAGGACCTGGCCCCCCACTGAGTTTGGAAGCAGCTGTGTGACCCGCCTTGGCACTGGGGCATGCCTGGGTTGAGGGGCTGGCCTGCCCATAAGCAGGGTCAGGTCCCTGCCCTGTGGCTGGCTCCCCACCAGCACAGCACCTCCCTGGGCCCCACTGGAGACTTATACATCCTCTGATCAATGCCAGAGACGTGACAAAGTTCATACTAGTTAATCATTCAAGACATTAAAACAAATGAGCCAGGTAGTCCACAAAGGAAATAGACTATCAAGACAGAGTCTTTTAGATTTGATTTTTGTAAAAAAGATACTGCTGACAAGGGTACAAGCTTCTCGCCCCAAACAAAAGTCCTCTTAAGACTCATCTGCTGAAACTGCCTCTGTGTCCTTGTCCTGGAGGACACAGCCTGGAGACTGTGTTGTCTCCAGGGTCACATCTCACTTCCTGTGAGTTACCCTCCCTCCCTCCTCGGACAGGTGAGTAGGTGTCTTTTTGGTACCATGCTCTGTGCCTCACACTCCTACCTGGTGCCAAAACTGAGTCTAGTGTCTTCCATGCGGGCAAACCCCTCCACCTCTTTAGGGTAAGGGAGGAGGCAGAGCCCAGCCTGGAATGGACCCGGAGGGACACTGAGTTCTGAGCAGGTCCTCCAGTCCTCCAGTAAGACATACCCATACAAGTCCTTTCCCTACCCATCCCCAGGCGCAGAGGACCCAGCACAACGCGGACAGTCGGTCTCTGGCCTCTGGCAGCTGACAGTCAGCCTCTGGTTGCTGTCCTCCACCTCGGCCCTTGACCTGTGGGGTGTCCAGGAGCGAAGCTCTGGAATCTCAGGGCACAAACCCACAGGTACAAACAAACCAGAACAGACCTACACCAGACATTCTTGGCCAAGGAGGACTCAGGCAGTGCCCACCTTTTTATTGATTGTGGCCCCTAATGACAAATATGGGTGTCATTTCCCAGGATAAAGCTTAATGACCTAGCCTGTGTGATCTGTGGAATATTTCCAGAGCCGTGGGTACTCTGGGGTCACCCAGGGCTCCCAGGGTGAGATGCTTCATCCAGTCTGATCTGTCCTACTTGTAACTGGGAAACCTAAGGCGGTCCAGGAGAAGTCCCAAACCCCACAGAGGTAGCCTTGAGCCTGTGTCCCAGGGTCTCCACTCTCAGTCCCTCCTTGCACTGAGGAGACACCCTGAGCAAGTAATTGTTCTTCTGTGTGCCTCAAGTTCCTCCTCTGAAGAGTAGGTGTGATAATAATGGTAGTACCCAGGGACAAAGCAGAATTCTATATAATGTGATTAGCCGGCCACGTCCCTGCCCTCACGGTCCTCTCTGACTGCCTGTTAAACTCCCCTCTGTCCCACGAACCTCCGTTAGCATCTCTGCACTTTACAGCATTATGGGAACTGCACTTGCATTGTTTTAGAAGGTGCTCAAGCAAGGACGTCGCAGGGCTATTTTGAAATTTAAGAGAAAACTTCACAGCGCCAGGCACCAGCTTCTGCAACAAATGCCCTATTATTTTGCTGTTAACCATCATCCTAGGTCACCGTTTTGTCAGACCCTCCCTGCCAGCCCCTCCCTCATCACTTGCCCTTGCTGCGCGAAGAACGGGCGCTCACCTGTTCCGTCCCCGGGATCCGCTGCTGGACAACTTGGAAGAAGATGCAGAGAGGCAGGGAGGCCAGCGCCGAGTAGCCCCAGATGACCAGGAGCATCAAGGCCCGCGCCCGGGGCCCGGGGCTGCGGATTCCTCGCTGCAGGCGCACGATGCACACCATGCGCTCCAGGCTGACAGCAGCCAGAGTGAGGATGGTGACGCTGCCACTCAGGCACATCACGTATAAGAGCAGGTGGCAGGCCACCTGGCCCAGCAGCCAGGCCTCCGTCCAGCGCACAGCCAGCACCGGCGGGATCGCGCTGGTGAAGAGCAGGTCCGCGCAGAAGAGGTTGAGCACAAGGCAGGCTGTGGTGCCTCGGCGCCGCCGGCGTGCCACAAGCACTAAGGCGCACACGTTGCCCAGCAGCGACACCGCAAAGATTAACGCCAGCACGACCGTCTCCACGGCGCTCAGCACTATCCGGTGGTCGCCCTTGAGGTCGGAGAAGAAGGGGAAGTGGGTGCGGTTTGCCAGCTCCAGGCTGCGCGGGGGGCCAGTGCCCGCAGTCCGAGCGCTCTCAGGGAACATGCCCAACGCCCGGCGGCCCGCAGCCCTCTGCGATCGCGCTCATCTGGGAGGTGACTGAGCGCCAAGGCGGGGAAAGAGGGAGGAAGGCGGTTGCGACATCTCCCCTCGGGCCCCCCCCTCCTGAGGAGCGCCGGCGCTGGGTGTCTCGAGCTGAGCTCTGGGTCTGGGTGCGCGGGAATGAGGAAGTGCCAGAAGACGCGAGCTGGTCACACCTGGCTAGGGGGTGACCCAGGCAAAGGCCTCGCCCTCCAGGTGGGTTTGGGAGCTCCAGAGACCTGGAAACACAAGAGCCCTCACGGGCCAGCCCAAGGCTCTCACCTCCCGGCGGCACCAGCATGGGGAGCCTGTAGTCCGCCCACTGAGCTAAAATCACGTAGGGACATCAGAGCTGGGCTTGGGAGGTCATTTTAGCCTATGTTCAAGTCTCACCAAAGCCACACGGCCTGGGGGCAGACCCCAAAACACCTGACAGTGGTTTAGATTGGGGGGGCAGATTGAGGAGGTAAAGGGGGGAGAATCTTTTATCATTGAATCTTTTATCATTAGACTTTGCGTGGATTAATCTCTCTATATGCAGTTTTTGATACGTACAATGGAGATAATAACACCTCATTGGATAACTGTGAGGATCATATAGAGACCCACACTCTGAGCCCACCGTAATCACTCACAGAGTGTCCTCAACTACTAGTTATTGTAATTAAAATGCATGCCAGCTTTGCATTCTGGGCAACGAGATAAAATGTTTTCATGTAAAAAATGGTGAGATCCCCAAAATCTTGAATAAGCTCAACACCACCCCCCAAAAGACACCCCAATACCTTCAGGCTGTGAATGTGCCTCAGGCACCCTAGTTTGACAAGCAGTGGGCAACGCAATCCCCTTATTGATGAGAAAACGGAGACACAGCAAGAAGTGACATGTTGCAGGTGGCCCTGGCTGGTAATAAAAGCCAGGTGACCTGCCCTTGTCACCTGTTCCCACCACACCGCTGCTGTCTAGTTTTGTTACAGGAACTAGGCAGTTAGAGAATGACAAGTGTGCTGTGGCCCTGGACCTGGTGACCACTCTCCTGACCAGACACCCTCTCACCGCTACAGCCTGCCTCTCTCCCTCTTTACAGAACAGCCAGCCCTCTGCCAGTTTTCTATCACATCTAGTAGTTGTTTCTGTGCCCTTATGGAGGGTTCAGGGTGGCAGTCTGAGGCAAGGCTCTGGGGGAGGGGGAGCGTTGTGCTTGTGTGTCTGTTTATTACTGTGATGTCAAGGTCTGATTGGCAACGTGACCTGTGACCTGATGTCAGTGGGAGATGCTCATTTTATACCTGGGCTGAGTTTAAGCTGTGAGACACAGTCAGCTTGCTTTCTGAAAGGGGGCAAGAGGCAGACAGATAGAGAACTCAGATGGAATTTGGTGGCTGTCTGACCAGGACTAGGGGTATTCATTTTTGTGTGAGGGAAAGGAGAGCTGTGTGTGTATAGGGTGTAGGGGAAAGAGAGGAAGAGGGGAGAAGGAGATTCCATATTTACAGGCTGATGTGATGTGGGGACAGAAAGAGTTTATTTTTTTAAGATTTATGGTGTAGGCCAGAGGTACAGGGGTTTGGGAGGGGTGAGAGGCTTCACCAGAGACAGAGTGGGGAGCAGAGCAGGCAGATCCACTGAAACACACTGCTGAGGAGAACAACGAGTGAGAAAGGAGAGGTCTGCTGCGCCATGTGGGTCAGCTCCCTGGCGGGGTTTTGAACTCCTGCTGCAGTGGCTGCAGATAGCTTCATAGTGCTGCGCTTTAACCCGCTGTGCCACCAGGGGTTTCTGCAGTGTGGACAGTCATGGGCCCTCTCTGTCTGCTCCGTCATCACCCTCCAGCATTCTCCACATGGCAGCAGGTAGCACAGAAACTCCCAAGCCTCTCCTTTCACAGAGCCTTCAAGGGTGCCCTAGGCCAAAGGAAAATCCAACAATTCCACTTAAGAAGTAGTTGGTCCCAAATGATTTAATAAGACTTTATGTCCTAACAACCTAGAAACCACCTTCAAAAACAAAAACAGTAAACTGAGAGATAAAACTTTGTTTTGCTCTTAAACAACTGGAATAATTCTCGAATGGAATGGCTGCCCCTGTTGAGCTTTGCAAAACCAGGCATCAGTTTGGGCTGTCACCTCATTTTTGGCCCCATGTTGATTTTTCTGCCTGCTTTTTATCACTGCCACCCTTTTGAAAACCCAGCTTTGTAAAGATCTGGTGTCACAGATTTAATGTTGAAGTTGTGAACTAGGTAGAGTGTGTAATTTCACGCAGTGTCTGATGGATTGCTCCAGAGAAAGGGGCTAGTGCTGCTTCCCTGGGCCTGAGCACACACGGGCACAGGATTAAGATAAACCAGGCCTTGGAAACTCGCTGCCACCAGCAGAATCCTGGTTGTACACTCTGCGTGACTCTGAGCAAGTTACTTTAGCTTCTGGTATTCAGCTTTCCCGCACATAAAACGGTGAGAACAGTACTGATCCCTTAGGAGATTTTTTTGGGGTGTGGGGGTGGGGGAGGGGTGATGGTAAGTGAAGTATCTGTACATCAGGCTTTTAACACAATAGTCATGGAGTGGACAGCAGGCCCTGTCCTGCCCCACACATGGAATATGCCTTAAGGACTGATCACACATCTCCGTTCTCTGAGTCAGCCTCAGATTATGAAATTTTTTATTAGAACCCTCTTTCATTCTCAAATTGTCCTGGTCTGGAGCTTAATCGCATGGCTTGCCTGCCTTGGTGCTGATGAACTCACCCGGAGATCCTGAACTTGCAGTGCTGGTGTGGAATCCAAGCAATCAGACTCCAGAGTCTTTGCCCTTAATCGCTAGAGCTGTGCTTCTTAACTGGGGGAGACTTCGTTACCACCCCTCCCCAACCCCTCCCGCTCACCCCCAAGCACTTAGTAAGGTCTGGAGATATTTTTGGTCGTCACAACTAGGAGGTTACTCTGGCTACACAAGAAGGGGAGAGGCCAGGGCTATAGCTGAACACCCCACAATGCCCAGGACAGTCCCTCTGCAAGGAGCCAAACCTGCCTCCCTGGGCCCTCCTGGGGCCTCGCCAGACTGGACTGTGCCCCTCACTGTACACCTCTCTCGTGGTGGCTCAGCTAGTTGCAAAAGCCAGAAATGTTACCATTTTCCTCACAAGGTTTCCACTCTGTAACCCTTTCAGCAAGCCTTCAGCTTCAGGTTCTGGCCCCAGGTGTGCCCAGCCATGAGCCCCATAAGTCCCCAGGACTGGACTCAGAGTCAGCAGGGTGGATCAGCCTCGTGTGTTTCTTGGAGACAAGATGACTGGAAACCATGGACTGAGCCCTTGTTTTGAGAGCTGCATTGACTGCTCATGGTCATTATTTACTATTATTATCATGTTCCTTTGCCTCCTCCACTCCAGATAAAATGGGAGAAACAGAAATAGAGCTGTGGATCCGCCAAGTGTAAATATGGACAGACTAGTTTCTGAGTTATTGAGAGCACTGCACTGAGGCATGACTTCTGTCCCTGATTACTTTATATTTTTAACCAAACAGGTGGAGGAATGTTTTCCCCTGTGTGGTTTTCTTACTTTTATCTGGAAACATTTTATGAAAGTTGTGTGGAAATACTTGCTGGCTCATTGCTTCCTCTCCAAACATCTCTGTCAGTGGTCTATAATCTATCTACAAATCATCTATTACCTACCTACCTATCAATCAATCAATCTATCTATCTATCTATCAATCTATCTATCTATTTGGAGTCTATCTATCTAACTATCTGTCTAAATGTCTATCTGCAGGCTATCTATCTGTCTGTCAGTCGATCTATCTATCTATCAGTCAATCTATCTATCTATTTGGAGTCTATCTATCTATCTTCTCCCTACCTATCAATTATCTATCATCTACCTGCCTATCAATCATCTATCTATCTATCTACCCTCCCACCATCTATCAATCTATCTATTGGATTCAAGACATTAAGTCCTTTCAGAGATAGAATATCTCCTTGAAAAATTAGGACTTATTCTAGAGCAGAATGCAAAGGGTGCTTACCCCTTGGAAAGATTTCAAGTCTCGCTCATGTTTCTATACTTCTCTTCTTCCAATCCCTTCCATGTGGGTCTCCACCAAAGCCGGGCCCAATTGCTTTGAACTTTCACAGTTGAGTAGTCACCTCAACAAGGCCATTGAGGTGCAGGAGGGGACACCTTTTCTGGAAAAGTTTCCTGTGCTCCTTCTTCAAGGAGACCCAAGACTCCCCAAGCAGACAGAGCACTGGGCTGTGCACGCAGGCTCAGAGATGGGATGGGTGAAAGAGCACCCATCTGGGACAGGACAGCACCCTCCATCTTCTCCATTGTCTGCAATCAACCTGTCAGTCAAAGGGAGGAAACCCAAGTAGACACTGGGAAATGAAAATAGTGAACCGGGCCCTCCCTGGTGGTGTGCGATGTGGGAGCACAGCACTGTGTAGTTCTCCACAGCCACTGCAGCACAAGTTCAATCCCCAGCCAGGGAGCTGACCCACATGGTGTCGCAGACCTCTCCTGTCTCGCCTGCTGCTTCCCTCAGCAGTGTTTCAGTGGATCTGCCTGTTCTGCTCCCCACTCTGTCTCTGGTGAGCCTCTCACCAACCCTGCACCTCTGGCCTCTACCCTAGTTCTATATGCACAAATAAATAAATCTTTAAAAAAACAAACAAACATAGTAAACCCAGATGGGACTAGTGACCAGCTGGTTGTGACCTACACACAGTAGGAGCCTGGGTGGAGGGGGCAGCGGGGTGGGGGTTGCTGTGGCCAGGCCACAACTAGTACCTGTATGCTTTATCAAAATTAGAGGGTGTGCAGTTAGGAAGGGACCCCTGCTGAGAGGTGCTGCAGCCGAGCACAGGCTCAGCAAGCAGCATCTGGCTGGGTAGGCTTCAGTCCCCTCCCCCATCACATGTCCCCCTGGAGCATCCTCTGCACAGTGCCCCGCATGTA